TGGGAGAGAGGCGCCCAGAAGGAAGGGGTGGGGAAGAGGATACGTGCCAGGAAGAGGGCCGAGCATTAATTCAAGCAGGGACTGAAATCTCAAATTCCAATGAACTTTATCAGTCACCCAAAGTGACTCAGAGCGTTAGCCAGAAGTGAAGTGTACGACAGGAAAGGGAAATTGCACCCCAGCCAGCAGTGGCAGGGATGGGAAAGACAGAGCTGTTCACATTCATGCCTCGCTGCATCTTTGCTGTTCAGTACTTTGGAAGAGAAGAACGAGCCCCGCCCGCCAGAGGAAGAGCCTGCGTTTGCAGTCCTGCTCAACCCTGTGGGGATGATGGGATGGGCCCACACCTGCCCCTGTCCCTGTGTCCCTGTGTCCCCAGCTTTCCTTCTGTCCTTTCCCTAGCACCTTTCCTTGAACTCTGAACTCACCACAGCCAAAGCTACTGTCTTTTTTTTTTTTTTAAGATTTATTTATTTATTATGTATACAGTGTTCTGCCTGCATGTGTGCCTGCAGGCCAGAAGAGGGCACCAGATCTTACTATAGATGGTTGTTAGCCACCATGCAGTTGCTGGGAATTGAATTCAGAACCTTTAGAAGAACAGCCAGTGCCCTTAACCTCTGAGCCATCGCTCCAGCCCTGTCTTTTTTTTAAGGTTTATTTTATGTTGAGTGTTTTGCTGGCATATGTGCATGTGCAATCTGTGTGTGTTCTTCATGTCCACAGAGGCTGGAAGAAAAGATCAGCTCCTCTGAAACTGGAGTTAGAGATGGAGTTAGGCTTCTCAGGTAGCCTGAAGCCACAGATAAACCAACCGTGGACTGGGAACACATCTACTGTGAGTCAAAATAAACCCTTCCTACTTGATGTATGCCTGTAATCCCGACACCCAGGAAGTCAAGGCAGGAATATCACATAGCCTGGGCTATATGAGATGCTATCAAGAAAACAAAACCCAATCCTTTTCTCTTTAAGTTTATTACTTTCAGTGTTTTGCTACAGTAACAGAAAGCTGGCTGACAGAGGGACTAATTCCACTCAGGAGGTCTCCATCCTCACGGCTGAGTTACCTCATCAAGGCTTGCCTCACCAAACCAGCACTTTGACAATTAAAATGTCTTGGGTGTTTCTTTGAGACAGAGTTTTACGTAGCTGATCTTCAATGAGCTCTCTAAGTTGCCAAGGATGGCTTTGAACTCCTGATCCTCCTGCCTCATCTCTCCAGTGCTGGAATTCACTGGCGTGTGCCATCACATCCAGCAGGCAATTGGAATTTCAGCACATGAAACACGGGAGAACACATTCAGCCCCCAACAACCACATTTGGTAAACATGAGACTGGAAATTCAAGCCTTGCTCTGAGCTCTGAGCTCAAAGATGAGAACAGGAGATTCAGTCCCATTACCTCCCCCCCCCACCACCACCATGTAGAGTTCTAGGAATCCCCTGGCCCCTGACAAAGACAAGCTAGAGCTAATGAGGGTGCTGGGGCAGAATGGCCAGCCAGCGCCCTGAGGGCTCACGTCTCGGCTTCAGCCTGACTTCTGTGTGATTTTGGACATGCAGGCTCTGCTCTGGCTGCTGTGTGAACATGAACTGGCACAGCCCTCTCCGGGCCTGCAGTCCTGAAATAGGCAAACAAGGAGAGGTGTTTGTGCTGTTTTGTAGCAATCAGGAGTCAACAACCCTAGGAAATTATGTCAGCGGGTAGGTGAGGGGCAGGGTAGAGAGGCCCCAAGGATGGGCACAGGGGATGTTTTGAGGCAGGCAAATCTCACACATCACTGTTGGACAATGGTGTAGGGGGATCATTGTGTGGTGAGTGGAAAGTCCTTTTTTTTTACTCCATTGCTGACAATAGTCCAACATAGTGGGTGGAGACCCTGGGGACAGGGTTTGGTCCAATAAGTGAGTGGCTCATTGTTCCTGGCTGGGACAGAGCTGAAACAGGACACCCGGCTGGGCTGGTGCTGAAACCAGAGCAAACCCAAAAAGCCCCTTCTGAACAAAGACAGGCCAGACAGAGCCAGTCGTCAAGTATGGGGAAACCGAGGCCCAGAGAACAGAAGCAGCTTGCCCAGGTCCTGCCAACATGGGACGCGGGTTTTGACCCTCAGGCTCCGATCTCCTTTCTCTGCCCCTAGGACAGCTCAGCTTGCAGCCATGTCAGCATGACTAGGCTGCCCTTTTCACCTGCAAGAGCGGTGGCGCTGTGTGGCACTGTGGTGTGGCACTGTGTGGCGGCAGTGGAGTCCCTTCCTTCCCCTTTTGGTGGGCTTGGCAATCCTTAGAGAGCAGCTGCTGTGTCTTGATGGTGTGGACTGCCTACCTTGACAGAAGGACCAGAACCCAGAGGCAGTACCTCAACTTGCCCAGAGAGGGCAAGGGGGAAGGCCCCGTCCACACAGCAAAAGCTGCCCATTTGTTGCCTTCTATGGCCCACCTCTTGGTCAATGTTTCCATTCTGGATCTCAGGGCACCCGAATGCATGGAGGTGTGGCTACGGACAACCATGATGGGGACAGGCAGTTAGGGGCAGATGGCAAGCCTGCTCTGGGCGTGGGTAGGAGCTCTCAACTCCTCCCCTGGCCCCTCTCACTACCTGCCATTCCGCCTCTCTGTTTCAGGCAAGGGTCTGGAAGCACACGTAGACCTGTGCACCTAGAAGCCCTCCAGCGCCAGGCAGGGTGGAACTGAGGCCGGATTTTCCCTACGACAAAGCTGCGGCCTTCCTTCCCAGCCTGTGGGGTAGAGACTTTGGACTCAGGGTCCTAGTCACTTACTGACCAGGCTCTGGTCCAAGGCTCACCTCCATGTCCCCTAGAAGTATGTATTTAGGGTGCTTTCTATGCGGCAGACACTGGACTAAGTGGTGTGTGTGTGTGTGTGTGTGTGTGTGTGTGTGTGCGTGCGTGCGTGCGTGAGCGTGTGTGTACCCGAGCCTTAGGTACGCCACCTAAGAGCCTGTATGAGAGGCTCTTGATGAGATGAGGAAAGTGAGGTGCTGTGAGATAGAACCATGTGCCCAAGGGAATATGTTGGAAGAGCAGATGTGACCTTCAAACCAAATCTGTGCGCTGACCCCTGCCCCGCTCCACTGACTGTCCAGGCCTGAATCATGGGAAGAGCACCGACAGACCCCCCCCCCGACCCGTGGCCATGTGGGATGCTAGAGCATCATGGGGGACCTTTGGGGACCTGAACTTTTTCTCGACTCAGCCACCCTTGGCCATGTCACCTGCGGCCTACCTGGACCAAGCCCTCCTCCAACTGCCGGCTCCCGATTTCTCCGCAATTAAATGGCACTAATAATATCTATCTAGAGCCTGGGTTTGAAGGATAAATGAATCACGTGTGAGTCCTGTTTGGGGCCTGAGACATAGGCCAGTACATGAGTTCCAGCCCCTATGACCTGTTTTAAAGAGACCAGCTCAGATCCACCATGTTAGCCTGCCATGTGCCAAGTCTGGGCAATGAAGGACAGAGGCACCAGTGTCCTCAATGGATCCTCCCTCCACCCAGACATCCATGTGGATAGAGACCACACCGGGGCTTGCTCCCTCCTGGGGGACTTTCTTTGAACCACACTGCATGCAGATTTGGAGGACACAGGGCCTAGGGAACAGGGGGCCACGCCTGGTCACTGGTTCACTGAGAACAGCAGCTGTAAAGACCAGAAAGCGTATACCCTGTTTGTCTGCTTGCCCCATTCTGGTTCTCTTGTGTTAAGTCCTTGGTCACAATTCTCCAGCCCTGGGGGAAAGAGCTGGTCAGTGGCGGGGGCACAGAGACTCATGAAGTCACTGTCCTATACTGGGGGGGGGCACAGCAACAGGAGCAGCCCAAGCCAGGCTCATGCCCACGAACCACACTGACCTTGGACACGGCCCCTCCCCTCTCTGGCCTTGAGTCTACAGCTGGGCTGGACAACGCTTGGGCTCCTGTCTAGTGGCTGGCTGGTTCCTGTGCCCTTTCACAGTGGCCTTCAGGAGCCAGCAGCCCTAGGATGTGATGTGAGGGTGGGGAGAGGGTGGGGAGGCCCAGAGGGTAAGTGGAGATATTTTGAGGACAGGCAAGTCACCTCACGTCACTGCTGGACAATGGTCTGGGTTGGTGGAAAAACTTGGTCTTACTTGGGCTGAAAATAGCACAGGGCAGAAGGGTCAGGAATCCTACCCTCCAGGCCAGCGGCCTGCCTGGACGCCGGGCAGCATGTCCACACCATGGGTCGGGCAGTCTGACTGGCTCCTGGAGCTGGAACCATAGGCCTATCCCTGGTTCCCCCGGAAAGTGCTGTTATCCGTGGCTGCCACAGAGCTAGGCGGTGAGAGGCCTTCCTGTCCCGGAGGCCCTGTGTCCTCTGAAATCTGCATGCAGTGGTTAAAGAAAGTTCCCTGGGGTAAGCCACAGTGTGCTCACCATCCAAGTGGCTGCCGAGTTCTGCTGTTTCTGAGCAGCTTTGTGGTGTGTGTGTGTGTGTGTGTGTGTGTGTGTGTGTATGAAAACCAGGACTCTGGTCCATGGTAAATATTAAAGGCCCCTCCAACTCACCACGTGCATCTTGGCCTCCAGGCTCCAGCACAGCTCAGAGCTCAGGTGTAGGTAGGCAGGATGCAATGGGGAGAGGTTCCTCACAGGGACCTTCCGTCTGTGGCTTCGTGAGGCCTGTCACCTTTGCCTGTTCCTGCCTAAACCCCAGAGCTGGCCCTGCCCACTTTCTTGCATTCTAGGGAGCCTTCCCCAACCAGGACTCACACAGCAACTCAGTATGGTCTGTGCTGAAGTTCCCTGCACCTGCTTTTAAGAACCAGCTGTTGGAGAGGTGTGGTACCCGCCTGTAATCCCAGCACTTTGGCAACCAGGGGCCATAGGGTAAGGAGTTCAAGGTCAGCTTCAGCTACATGGCAAATTTGAAGGCTACCTTTGGTTACCTGAGGTCCCGTCTAACTAGCAGGAGAAAGACCCAGTTGTTGATTTTCAAAAATTTTGCAAAGAGATGGTTACTGTGTTGGTAATTTGTAATTGGAACTGGACCGGCCGCAGTGGGGTTACCTTGCACCACAGTTGGCAGTGTTATAAATAAGGCCCCACCCGTACCCCAGTTCTCTTAAACAGTTCAACATCTACCAGCACATGTGAGGGTCTGTGAACTGGGGAGCCAACCCCCAGAACTAGAGCCCTGCTTGACTCTTCTCCATGCTTGGCATAGTACAGTACACATGACAGGTGGCCTAAAGGCAGGGTTGACCTGGGGATCTGAGGAGGGATCCCCGCTCCGAGGCCCCCGGAAAGCAGTGCTAGGAAGGCGGGTGGCAGAGATATCAGGCCCTTGGGAGGGTGCTGACGGCTTCCCAGGCCTCGCCCCATTCTCTGACCATGCAGTAGAGCACAGCCCAAGAGGTCGGCATGGCCTTCCACATAAGTTACGCTTTCCACCTGCCTCCAGATGGATCTGACGTCAGCTTTCAGATGTTTGTCCTTGGCCTGAGGGTCCTTCCTCTGAGCTGAGTCCACTGTAGTGCCCAGGTCCATCCCGCGTCACCGTGGATCTTGGCCCTGATTACCCACCAAGAGTCCGCTGGTCATCTTGTGTTTCCACTCCGAATCCAGGCAGCTAGCCCAGACTGGCTGTGTCCTTCCTGGACCTGCTCTTCCCTTGGATGTAGGAGGCTGAACCTCAGCCTAGGTACCGCAGCAGGAAAGGCAGCTGTTTGCCTGGGCGTCAGGGGGCATTGCCTTCCTTAAGCTCTGATTTCCCAACTCACACATACAAATGATTGGAGACTTTGGGGTCCTGCTACTCTTGACTATCCTGAACCCCTGCCAACTGAGAGTTGCTGATGATCTGTATCTGAGGACATCAGCCCATCTGGACAAGCCTTGGTCACCTACAGATCCCCAACATGAACCAGCTCCTGCCCCAGGGGCTCTGACCTAGAGATGAATATCCTTAGTCTCAGTCCCAGCTGGTGTGGACTCTGTCCTTCTTGAGTCATCACTGCTGATCGACACAATTTTCCTCACGGTGTCGTTTCTGTTAGACCTGTGCAGGCCCGGCCTGCGACGAGCCTGGGGGCTGGGAGTGGGCTCTGTGGGTGGCTTGGCATCTCGGGCAAACCGGACAAGCCTCTGCCCTGCCAGGAAGTAGAGCACAGGGTCAAGGCAGCTGTTGGCGCTGGCCAGCGGCCGGGTGATCTTGTACGCCATGTTGATGGCATTGAGGGTGTGGCAACTGAGGTCAAGTGACCGGAAGGAGTAGTAGAGGGTGCGGGTGACGTGGAAAGGCAGGAAGCAGAGGGCGAAGACGGCCAGGACCAGGGCGATGGTGCGCACGGACTTGCGCTTGGCCCGGGGCAGGCCTGTGGTCCCGTAAGCAGGTTTGAGCAGCCGCCGCGCCATGAGCACGTAACAGACCAGGATGACGGAAAAGGGCACAGCGAAGAGCAGGCCCAGCATGACGGAGCTGTAAGCCACGAAGTGGCTGAAGAGCTCCCGGGCGGAGGTGTCGTGGCAGGTGATGCGGCTGCCCCGCACACTGGTGGTGACGAAGTAGAGCACGGGCGCCTGGCAGGCCAGCACCAGCCCCCACACCAGCGCAGCCACGCGGCGGGCATAGCGGGCCCGGCCCCAGCGCAGGGAGTGCAGCGGGCGCAGGACGCCCAGGCACCGGTGCACGCTGATGCAGGTGAGGAAGAGGATGCTGCAGTAGAGGTTGGTGTAGAAGAGGAAGCGCACCAGCTTGCAGAGGACCGTGCTGAACGGCCAGTGGTCGCCCTGCGCGTAGTAATAAACCAGCAGCGGCAGGGAGGCCGCGTAGAGGGAGTCAGAGACCGCCAGGTGAAACATGTAGGTGGTGGAGGCGTTCCAGGTCTTGAGGCGGCACAGGAAGATGTAGAGAGCCACGACGTTCAGGCACAGGCCGAGCACGCACACCACGCCGTAGGACACGGGCAGCAGCACGTACTTGAAGTCCTCGTTGAAGCGACACTTGTAGCCCAGTTCATCTCCCTCCCAGCTGCCATTGGTGGTGCTGTTCCAGGGGTCCTGGTCTGCTGCCATTGCCCTGCGGGAAATGGAGGCGTGGAGAGGAAGCAGTCAGAACTGGAACTCAAAGGGACCCCCTTGCTTCCGTGTGCCGAGGGTGAGAGTGACAGGCTTAACCGTGGCCACAGACAGCTCGCTTATAGTGCAGGGGGCTCTGGGTTCCTACCCCGGTAACACACATACTAAAGATTTGCTTGAGCCAGGCAGAAGCGGGAGAACTGCGTTCAAGGTCTGCTTGGGCAGCCTGGACTACATAATAAGACCCTATCACAAAACAAACAAACAAAAACGAAAACAAAAAACCCATTTGTTTATCCAAATCAAGACTCCCCTCCCCACTATACAGGGTCTCACTATGTAGCCCTGGCTGCCCTGGAACTAGCTCTGTAGACCAGGCTGGCCTCGAACTCACAGAGATCCACCTGCCTCTGCCTCCCTGAGTGCTGGGATTAAAGGCCTGTGCGCCACCACTGCCCTCTCCAAATCAAGACTTGCACTGTCATGTGAGTTGTATTGTCATGTCTGTTGGGTTGAGCGGTTGTGATCAAGGCCATGTGGTCTTCAAAGTCTGAGATATTTACTCTGGAACCTGCTGTCCCTTGCTCTAAAACCCTGGGTCAGATACTTCAAGACCAAGGACTCAAAGGCTTTAACTGAGAACTGGGGGTTCCAGAGGGGTATAACTTCAGATTATAGGAAGTGGCCTTGAGATTGACCCTCTGCTGCACCCCTCTGCCCTCTGCCCACTCCCCACTGCCCACTGAGGCTTCTCTGGTCTGGGCATCCAGCATGGAGTCCTCACAGACTCCTGCTTTAAAAATCCATCCTCCAGTCTCTGGGGTCTGGGAGAATTGACAAGGGTCTCCCTCTTCCATCATCCAGTTCCTTGTGCAACTCTCCTTTTGGACTCTTAACTTTTGTTTTATGTGTGTGGGTGTCTTGTCTGTGTGTATCTGTGCACCGAGTGTGTGGCTGGTGCCTGCAGAGGTTAGGGATGCACTGGGCCTGAAGCACGGAGAGATAGAAACTGCTCTGGGGTAACAGAACCCCAATCTCCGGCAAGAGCTACAAGTGCTGCTAAGCAGCATCTCTCCAGCCCCTCGGGCAACTGTGTTAAGGAAGGTGCTATTCCTATATTCTGGTGCTTTCTGCACCTGCAAACAGCGGTCCTGTTCTCCGCCTGTGAGGGGATGGCTGGATGGCATGGTAACCTTCCCAGAGAGTCCAGGGAAGTTTGGGGTTGCATTGGGATTTGGGGAGGAGGGAGGTTTCTTTGGTGGAGTGAATTTAGCTCTTCCAGGCCTTCCCTGGCGCAGGACGCCTTTCCACTGTCTTTGTGTCTTCTACTTGGCCCTGTTCACAGGTTCTGACCAGCGAGTGGACAATGAATGCCTGACAGGCAGATGACCACCTCTCCTCCTCTCTGTGTACCATCCTGTGACCACTCAGAGCTCTTTCAGTTAGGGTGAGGAGGCTGAGGCAGGAATAGCAGGAGTTTGAAGCAGCCTGACTATATAGAAAGACACTGTCTCCAAACAGTGGGGGAGGGGAGTGGCCAGTGAGATGACTCAGCAGGTAAAGGCACCTGCGGCTGAGACAGGTGACCTGGAATGGTAGAAGGAGAGCCTCTCCCAAGTGGTCCTTCACATGTGCGACACGGACATACACACAGGATAAACAAACAGCTGCCCTCACAGATAGGAAGTTTGTGGATGAAAAAGAAAACGACAACTCTTCCTGGGCTAGAGTAGAAAAGCTTTACCCAAAGGGCTCAACGGCAAAACATGACCTAATACAATGTGGTAAGTAGTGAGTAATTTGCTTCCTTTACCTTCCTTTTCCTGAAATAATGATATCATATGTCTACAGAGAACAAGATCGTGTGGATCTAATTTTATTGAAAAGCTTAAAAATAAATAAAAAATGGTTTGATGCATTTATTTTATGTATATGAATGTTTTGTCTGTGTGTATGTACATGTAACTTGCATGTGTGTGCCTCACACCAGCAGAAGGTGGGTCAGGTCCCTTGGAACTGGAGTTAGGGATATTTGGGAACCACCGTGTAGGGAGTGGATCCTCTGCAAGAGCAGCAATCACTCTAACCACTGAGCCAGAAATACTAATTTAAAAGTATATGTCTATATTTATGGCTGTGAGCCTAGCCTTTAACGGCTGAGCCATCTCACCCATCAGAACGGGTAAGATCAAAAACTCAAGTGACAACACATGCTGGAGAGGATGGGGAGAAAGGGGAACCCTCCTCCACTGCTGGTGGGAATGTAAACTTGTACAACCACTCTGAAAATCAATCTGGCACTTTCTCAGACAATTAGGAATAGTGCTTCCTCAAGATTGAGCTATTCCACTCCTAGGCATATATCCAAAAGAAGCTCAAGTATACAACAAGGATGTTTGCTCAACTATGTTCGTAACAGCTTTATTTGTAATAGCCAGAAGGTGGAAACAACCCAGATGCCCCTCAGTTGAGGAATGGATACAGAAATTGTGGTACATTTACACAATAGAATACTACTGAGAAATTAAAAACAAGGAAATCTTGAAATTTTCAGGCAAATGGTGGGAACTAGAAAAGATCATCCTGAGTGAGGTATCCCAGAAGCAGAAAGACACACAGGGTATATACTCACTCATAAGTGGATATTAGACATATAATATAGGATAATCATACTACAATCTGTACACCTAAAGAATCAATCAAGAAGGGGAACCCTGGGTAAGATGATCAATCCTCATTCAGAAAGGCAAATGGGATGGACATCAGAAGAGGGAGAAAACAGGGAACAGGACAGGAGCCTTCCACAGAGGCTCTGAAAAGTTCTACCCTGCAGGGTATCAAAGCAGATGCTGAGACTCTTAGCCAAACTTTGGGCAGAGTGCAGGGAATCTTATGAAGGAAGGGGGAGATAGAAATACCTGGAGGGGACAGGAGTTCCACAAGAAGAGCAACAGAATCAAAAAATCTGGACACGGGTCATTTCTGAGACTGATACTCCAACCAAGGACCATGCATGGAGATAACCTAGAACCTCTGCACAGATAGATGTAGCCCATGGCAGTTCAGTGTTCAAGTGGGTTCCCTAGTAATGGGAACAGGAACTGTCACTGACATGAACTGGCCTGCTCTTTGAACACGGCCTTCTCAGGGGAGAGCAGCCTTACCAGGCCACAGAGGAAGACAATGCAGCCACTCCTGATAAGACCTGATAGGCTAGGGTCAGATGGAAGGGGAGGAGGACCTCTCTTATCAGTGGACTGGGGAAGGGGCATGGGTGGAGAAGAGGGATGGAGGGTGGGATTGGAAGGGGAAGAGGGAGGGAGCTACAGGTGGGATACAAAGGGAATAAACTGTAATTAATAAAAAGAAAAAATGTCTGTGTATGAGAGTTTTTCCTGAGTATATGTGTGCTATGCCACTCAGGCTGAAGAAGGCATCGCTTCCCTGGAACTGAAGTTACAAATGGTTGTGAACTACCAAGTGGGACTCAAACCTGGGTCCTCTGAAAGAAACCAGTTAAGCCACCTCTCCAGCCCCAACAAATAGTAAATTTATCAACAACAAAAAGTTTGTTTTTTTTTTAAACTGTAGTATTCCTCCCTTGGTGATACTTCTTTTCTCACTTTTCCACAATAAATCTACATGCTCTTTGTTTAAAGCAAAGCAAAACAGAACAACAACAACAAAAAAATGACAGTAAGAACACCACTCTCAGCTGCAGGCAGGGAGCGGGGACCCTGGGTGGAAAGACAGCAGCAGACTGAACATAAGAGTCCCAGGTAAGAAGTCCTCCTCCGCCTCAAGGGTCAGATCCCCACCCTAGAGAATGGTAGTGGCCCCTCAGGAGGAGCGTTGCTACACTGGACAGAGTGGCCTCTTCTAACCTTCGCACTGCTGTCCACTCAGAGGCAGCCTCGGGGGCAGCATCAGCTTTCCACTGTCTTTGTGCCTATTCACAGGGCTTCCTGCTGTTCTCTGCTGGTGGAATCTCTGACCCTGAAAGGCAGGGTGGAAACTTCCTTGTCCCCAGAACCAAGGAGCTTCCCTTTCCACCTGTTTTAAGACATCCTGGCCTCTGCCCTCCACGCCAGCTGGGAACTCTATCACAATGGCCCTGTTCCAGACTGACCCTGGCCATCCTTTCCTTCCCTGGGCCAACTCACTAGCCTGTAAAGCCCATCCTGCCAGCCCCCAGCCCTCTCCCTCAGCACCAGTTTCTGATCTCTACTGACCTCAGCTCCATGGAGACTTGTCCCCTTATATTGGCTGGCTCTGCTATGGCCAGTTCTCTCTGGCCATGTCCCAAGAGCTATGGGGCCCAGCCCGCCCAAGTGGGCCCCAGAGGGGTCCTACACTACCTTCCGTCCAACATGACAGAACCCAGAAGATCCTGTCCTGTCCCCTCTCCTAGGGACAGGGAAACCATCTGGGAATGGCATTCTAGGGATGGGTCAGCAGGCTAAGGCAACCTCATACTTTACTTGGCCCGTCTCCGGCTCAGTCTCAGTTCCGTACGCTGTAGTCCCTTCTGCTACCTTTCCTGCTCGGTAGCCATCAGGTTAGGTTTAAGTGGCTCCCACAGGGCACAGTTCCTGGTAAATATCTACACAGAGGTTAAACTATTTTTGTTGTTGTTGTTGTTGTTATACTGGAAGGAATTAGAAAAAACTAGTCTTGATGCCAAGGGCCGTCTGGCTCCGGAGCCTGGGATAAGGGAGCAGAGCAGGGTCCCTGCCTCGGATCCCGCTGATTAAGCAGAATTCAATGCACACACAGAAAAAAATGCCTGCCAGACAGCGGCCGCCTCACACACCTGATCAGCTCCTGCTCTTGGTGTGGTGAGGATGCTCAGCACCTGCTTCAGTTCTTCACTCATAAATGCACAGGCCTGGACCAGCTGAGGCAAGAAACAGGAAGAACAGGTTCCCAGGCCTGGGGCCCGGCCCAGCCTCCAGCATTTTTCAGGGCAAGCAGCTGCCTGGAGGGCTCCTGTAGACACGCAGGGATGAGAAAGAGTCTGTCAGCCTGGCCATGTTTCTTTTCTCCCTCTCTCTTTCTCTTCCCCCACAGATTGCATCCTTTGCCTCAACTGTGGCCCCGAAGAAGCCAGGAGGAGACAGGTCAGGCTTGCCTGGCCACAGTGCCCTCTGCACGCCCTGCTATCCCCTGCGAGCACATATGTTCCAGGAATGGGCTGTTCATAGCCTCCCTCTCCCACACCCCCTTTCACAGGAAGGAGGCCTTGTGGAAGGCTGGTAGCTTGCAAAGCTGAGCCAAGTCTCCAGTGTCCTTTCCCTTGGTCCTGGATCTGCACTTCAGCCCCACAGCAGGAACTGGTCGATACCCTCTTGGCCTGGCATACAGCAGACGTGAGTGCAACATACTTTTGGCCAGGACAGGTGTCTGACTGGAGGCCCCTCCGATTCACACCTAGACACTCCTCCACAGGCGTTATAAATATGCACATCCACCACGCCTGGGCACACAGCCTCAAACACCATAGACCCCCGGACACACACCTTCACATTCATGTACGCGTGCGGGGGGCTTATTGGCGTGGTCTAGATGGGGCCTGGTCAAGCCTCTCTGCTGAATCCCCATTTGATGGAGGAGGAAACTCAAGGACGGAGCTGAGCTGAGAGCCCCTCACATCCAACAGGCACAGGGGGCATTTGGCACCTGCTAGAGAGAAGACAGCTGCCTGGCAGAAGGAACCTTCTGTGCGAACAGGTCTCAGCAGCCACCAGGAGCCTCCTGGGTAATTTTTTTTCTTTTGAGACAGAGCTCTATACATCTCAAAACTCACTGTGTAGCTGAGGATGAACTTGGCTTTCTGATTCTGCTCCCCTTAGTTCCCAAGTGTTGGGATTATAGATATGTACCATTACCTCATGTTTCTTTGTTGTTGTTGTTTTCTTTTTCGAGACAGGGTTTCGCTGTGTGGCCCTGGCTGTCGTGGACTTGCTTATTAGACCAGTCTGGCCTTGAACGCACAGAGATCTGCCTGCCTCTGCCTTCCTGAGTGCTGGGATTACAGGCGTGGGCCACGTCACCCAGCGCCATCACATCGTGTTTATATGGGGCTGGGGCTAGACAACCTAGGGCTTCAGGTATGCTAGGCAAGTATTTTAACAGTTGTGAGACACACATATACCGCACACTCCTCTCTTTCTTTCTTTTCCCTCCCTCCCTCCCTCCCTCCCTCCCTCCCTCCCTCCCTCCCTCTCTTCTTTCTTTCTTTCCTGTTTGGTTTTGGGTGCTAGGGATTGAATCCAGGGCCTGAAGCATCTAGGCGAGTGCTCTGCAACTGAGCTATGCTTCCAGGCCTCTGAATGTATTTCCCCATCTTCTTACTGTCTCAACAATGGGGGAGTGGAACCCCCAAGCTGTAGGTAAGGTGTGAAGATGGGAGAGCAAAAGGAGAGGGGTGGCAGCAGGAAGAAATCCAAGAGCGGGCCGGAAGTGCCTCCTAGCCGCTGATGACTAGATGCACTAACCATAACCCTGGCATCTTAGGCTGACGCAGTTCAGAGCGTGGGTTGCTATCTGGCTGTCTGCTCAAGAGTCTGGTGGCAAGCTGAGCTCCCCCTCTCACCCTGCCCCTCTCAGGTGCACACCCTGAGCCCATCCTCAGGAGGTGCCACATTCTCAAAGGCCCCTACAGTCCTTCTAGGTGGCCATCTCTCAGTTCTCCACCCTGTCCACCACTCACCAAATAATACCAGTCAGACCAGTGGACTTCCTTAGACGTACCTTATGTGCCCTTTGCCCTGAAGCAGACAGAGGACTAACCTTTTCCTCTGGGCTGCAGTCCTTGCCTCCCTCTGCCCTGCCTTTCCAACCTTAACTCTTCAGTCCATCGTCTTCTTGATGCCCACCTTTCAGTACATGACCACCTGAGCTCAGACCCTCCCACAGCTCCCTAGTGCTGCCAGGTTAACATCCAAGGTCCCCCTCTGCACTGTTTCCATTCTCACCCACATGGCAATCGGCTTCTTAAGGTCTCGCTCAAGACCCCCAGAGGGTCACAGGCAAAGCCAAGCCCAGCAGGGAGAGCCCTTGCCTCTGCTCTTGCCCTGCCTCCCCTGGTTCTTTCCTCACTAGTCCCAGGCTAGTGAGTCTAAAACCAAGAGGAAGAAGTTGGGCCATTTCTAGGCTGGCAGCGGAATTTCCTGGGTGGTTGGACAACATTCCAGCTCCTCTACCAAGGTGGCTCTGGAATGTGCCACCTGCTAGGCTGGTGGACCCTGTCCAGCCTGGCAGGGGAGAGCGTCCTGTTACACCCCAGAAACCCCTTGCTGCCCCTGCCTTTGTCAGAAAGAAAGTTCTGGAGGGGAATTGAGGACCTAGACTTAGGACGGCATCAAGAGGCAGGAGAGAACACAGGGTGGGCGGGAAATCCGTTCTGCCCTTCCCAGCTGTTGGATGGACAGGGCTGCAAGTCCCGAAGCCCACATGCCAGTCTCCTCTTAACAGAGCAGAACCTGCCTGTGAGCTGTTGAGGTAGCTCAACAACAACAAAAAGCCACACTCACATTATAGAATAACAAGAGAGCAGGTTGCTATGTAGGGCAGAGACAAGAGGGATGGGGTACCCCCAAAGAAGCACGCCTGCAGGAATTTCAGGGGAGGGCACAGTGGCAAGGGCATAGCTGACCTAAGATGAGCACCTGGCACTCCCAGTCATCCTGGGGAGGAGGAGCTCCAGAGCCCTCTGCACCCCCTCTGCTCCCCAGGCTTGTTCCTGTGCGGATTACCTGGAGACTCTGAGACTGCATTCTCCCCCAGTCTCAAGAAGTTCGTTGTCAAGGTCAAGGATGCACACCCAGAAACAGAGAATGACAATCAGGGTGGCCTGAAGGAAGCTGAGGAGGCCCTGCTGAGAAAGGAGGCGCTGGTGGGCAGGGAAGGTTTCCTGGAGGAACGGCACCTGGCTTGTGGCTAGACAGATGAGTAGGCATGGGGCGGTTAGAGAGAGGAGTGATCGAAAAGCTGGGCGAGACGGCTAACCAGCTAAGCACCTCTGTGGTCGGTGTGTAGTACAGGGCGGTCTAGGCAACCGAGATTAGGAGCCTAGAAGTCACTGCCTGTCCACCCACCCACCCAAATGTCCACCACGGGGCTATAGGATAGCAGTTCCTCCCAGCTCCGAATGTTACGTCATGAGACCGAGCGCTGAGCATAGGCCTACCCTGGAGACACAGCTCAAGGGTGACCTCTGATGGTATAGGATGGTGTGTGTGTGTGTGTGTGTGTGTGTGTGTGTGTGTGTGTGTGCGCGCGCGCGCGCGCGCGCGCTGTGAGGCCTTCCTTCTAGGAAGTCCCTGTGCTCTGCAGCACTTCCCCTAGACCCCCCCCAAAGAGATCTGCTGTGGGAGCCACTCACTGAGGCTGAGACCCCTAAGGAGAAAGGGCCTACCTAGCTAGCCGCAGGACTCCAAACCCCTGATCCTTCCTGGCTCAGCTCAGCCAAGTGCAGCACAGGACTTCACAGATGGATGAAATGGAACCACAGGGTCCCGGACTCCTCCCCTGCGTGCCTGCAGTGAGGCCCAAGAAACAAGAACCCTGGGCTCAGGCTCCAACTTGGGGCCTGTTTTGCTGTGCAGTCTGGGTCGACCCAGTCTCTGAGTGTGAGTTTTTTTTTTTTTTTTTTTTTTTTTTTCAAGACAGGGTTTCTCTGTGTAGCCCTTGGCTGTCCTGAACTCACTTTGTAGACCAGGCTGGCCTTGTACCCACAGAGATCCACCTGCCTCTGCCTTTCTGAGTGCTGGGATCACAGGCTTGATGAGTGTGAGTTCTTTATTGGTCAAACTGGAAGAGTCACAGACCCTCGGGACAGCTCATGAGGAGTGAATAGGACCAGGGAGTGATGGGGTCCCCTGGGGAGCAAGATGTGCACAATCCTCCTTGCAGGCAGCATCTCCCCATCGTGGCAGGAAAACACTGAATTCTAGGATCCCACGACACTTCTAATCTAATCTGCCCTGGGTCCCCAGCACAGAGACAGAGGTCATGGTCCAAGCCTGGGGAGGGGCAGGAAGCATTCGGCTTATGAGCCGGGAGACTCGGGGCACACATCACAGGATGCACAGGAGGCTGTATGGCCAACACCGCCTCCTCAGAGCTCTTATGGAATATTTCCAGGCCAGTGACTCTGAGTCTGACCCCAAGAGTGCCCGAATCCCATGCTGTTCCTTCAGTTCGCCTGCTGAAGCAGGTGCTGCATCCAAAGGTCTCTTTCTTGTGGCTCTGAAAAGCCTTCAGCTGAGATTCTCAGAGCCCCAGGAGTTCGTGCTCAGAGTAGCACAACCATAGCTGAAAGGAAAAGGAGCCACAAAGCTCCAGCAAACACCTGCCTATGCCTCTCTGCCTGCGTGGCTTCAGAGGGTGAGCTCTGAAAGCCAAGCTTTGAGAAAAGACCCAGGGCTGGATAGGTCATCTTGGGAGATCCAACCATATCCAAAGGGAACTCAGGGGTCACAGAGCCAGAGACAACGTGTGTCTCGGGGAGGTGGTCAGGGGGAGCTTCCCAAGGAGTTGCTCCTTAAAAGACAACCCAGGTTGTCAAGAAGACAGAGATGAGAAAGAAGGAAGCACAAGCGAGGGCTCAGTGGGTGAAGGTACAGGCTGTTGAGGAAGTGCCAGGCGGTCACAAGTAGCTGGCTTGAAGGGTTAGGTGGCATGGAATGTGTGGGGGCCAAGGAATTCATAAGGGCTCAAATGCCAAGCTGAGGGCTTATTCTCCAGATTACAAAGGGAAGGCATTTTCAGGGCTGGCACTGTGGTTAGTACCGGGGAGTTGGGAGGGTAGGTGACCACTGAGGAGATTGTACTTCTAATGGTACAGCCAGAAGAAGTAGCATCCTGGCTTGGGATTCCTCGTGAGCCTCTTTTCCATCCCAAGCCCAAGCTTGGCCGAAGTCTCTCTTACAAATAGAACTGGAGGCGAGGCGCTCTCTAGGAGACTGTAACCGTACAAGCCAGAAGAAGGCCTAGTGTCTAGGTGTGTCTTCTTCAAAGACAGGGACAGGACACCAAAATGGAGGTGGGCCCAGCAGGGTCCAAGATGACATTGTCTGCATCAGAGAATCCTGTTACTCATTCTATACCAAGATTGAAGCAGGCCTCAGGGGCTGGCAATGACAGGGCAATAGAGGAGCCTCTCTCTCTCTTTCTCCCTCTCTCTCCCTCTCTCTCTCCCCACTGCAGGGCTAGGATGTAGCTCAGTAGGTAGAATGTTTACCTAGAATTCAAGAAGCCTTGGTTTGATTGCCAGCACCAAATATAACGGGTGCATACCTACAAGCCCAGCATTCAAGAGGTAGAGGCAGGAGGATTGGGAGTTTAAGGTCATTCTACAGACTGAGTTCAAGGCCAGCATAAGCTACATAAGACCCCTTCTCGGGGCAGGAGAGCCCACTATGGTGGCTCTTCATGAAACAAGTCTGTCCTCATCTAAATTCCCACTGTACCTGGCTGCTCATTTCCCAGCTTCTCCCTGGCATCTGCCATGCACCGCACCTGTGCTGGGTCATGAGGCAGAGATGGCCTGGCTTTATAACACTAACTGGTTTCTCTAGAGATTAAGGAGGACCCTGCATACATGTTCTTCCTATTAGGCCCTACTGGTGGCTTAAGGACCCAAGGGCATTTTGGGGAAAGTATGGGTTATTGGGGTGCACAGACAGGCCTAAGGAAGGAAGTTAGGAGAGAGAAGAGATACACTGGAGGGCACTTCTTAATCATCAGGTCAGCAAGATCTTCCTGGTCCTATGAGCAGACCTGGGGATACAGCTATTATCCCATAAACAGCTGGGCAATTAGACCACAATGGAGCCCCAAAGAAAGGCTCCTGGGGGCAGCCAGGAAGCATGGTGCATGCCTTTAATCTCAGAGCTCCAGAGTTAGGTTATGAGCAGAACTCTGTGTGTCTGAGGTCAGCCTGGTCCCTATGGTGAGCTCCAGGCCATCGAAAGAGAGAGAGAGAGAGAGAGAGAGAGAGAGAGAACCTGTGGTATTCAAACTCCCTTCAGCCTAGAAACAAGTGGTATACCCTCATCCTGAAGCTTTGGTCCTGGACAGGGAAAGCTCAGCTGGAGCAGGCAGGCAGGAGTCCCAGGTTTTATCTGGCTTTGTGACCTTGAATAAGACATTCTCCAAGACCCTGTTTTCTCATCTACAAAATAAAGGTAATAGTTCCTTTCTCATGGGGCCTTTAGGAGGATAAAATGAGGGATTTTTATAAACTGTAACAAGTAACAATTTAACAACGCTTCAATAGTAGCATAAGTAGTTGTAAGTTAAACGGAAGAAAGATTACAGATATATATATATATATATTTTTTTTTTTTAATTAAGAAATTAAAGATCTCCTGGTGTCACCCATGGGCTTTGGTTGATGTGCTCACACTCCCAGCTGGTTCCTGGCAGATGTGGGCACGAGGCGTACCGGAAAGACCACAACCCCACTCCACACCTGGAAGCCTTCTCTGAGGATTATTCGGTATGCCTGCCTTCCCAGCTCCTGGAAACCCAGGGGAATCCAAAGCTTGTGCCATCCCTCATGTGGGACCTTGAGGGCACTGGCCCCCTTTTAGAGGCTGGCTGTTGAGAGAATCGACTTCCTCCCGCCCTCACCCATGGGTAACCGACGCTTTCCTGGGGCCCCAAACTGAGCTTCAGAAGCCACTATTCTAAACTTGATCCAGAACAAGGCTGCTGACCCAGGAACTCTGCGGATGCCGTTCTGAGAACAGCAGTCACCTAGCCCTACAAATCCCCAAACTGGAAAGGCTAGTTCCCAGCAGCATGTAGGCCTGGGTCTAGCTCCTGGAGATCAGCAACACACACACACACACACACACACACACACACACACACACACACACA